ATATATCGCATGCATGTACTATTAGACATAACGCCTTGTTTTTGTCGATTCTAAAATTTGATTTAATTTTGTGCCCAATAATTACTCATTACTCATTATTTCCTCTATCGTTCCATAAAGTATGACAGTTCAGAATGAATTTGTTTCAGATCAAATTAAAATAAAAGTGAGGTCAGTATGTAGAATGACTGAAATGAATGAATAAACATTCAACTATTTAACTCACCCTTCTGGCAGAGAGAGCATATTTTTCATTGTTTTAATTTGAACGAAATGTGTCGACATATCGGTTGCGAGGACTATTTCGATTACCATGTTGCGTAATTCTCTTAAAATTTATTTACGGATTGCTTAAACTCTCTCACTTTTGAATATTCAACTCAAATTTGATTATGTTTACAAAAAAAGCGAATAAAAATGCGCTGAAATAATTGCAGCAACCAATCACTTAAAGTAGCCTATACAAAAAGCTAGAATTGAGTGATTTTTTCTAAATCTGAAACTCGCAATTATACATTCACAAGTCAATAGCCAATGATAATAACAGTATGTATACTGATTATGTTGATGTACCAGTGATACTAGCATAATAGCTATCACATCAGTTAAAATAATTTACTAGTTATGTATGAATAAGTGTATGCATTTAAGAATAGTTTCTAACAATATATGGGATAATTTATTTATGAAAGAATTCACACCTGTACTCTTCCTTTGTAAGTCTTTCCAAAATATTCCTGTCCCCATCCTTCAACAGTCTAAAACATGCGCTTACGTGGTGATTCTCAAGAACACTTCTATCGTTATAGAGCATTGCGAAATTTGATCTGCAAAGTGATCATTTCCAATTATTATTACCGATACAATCATCAAATTGTTCGTATGACACCGCTATTAGGATGATAACATTTTTGAGTTGTAGACATCAAAGAAACTCGAACTTGATTGGATGAGTTTAATTACCCAATGGAAAACTTCTTTGCGCTATGATTCTGGCAATCTGAGCAGAATTGTCATCACTACCAATAGATAATGCCATTTCGTTGGTATTTTTTTTATCAATAACGCACTCAACCCAAACATCCATTTAACTCTGATAATATCATCCTTGTTATCACTATCATTGTTATCATTGAATTTTTTATCATTATTAATATTAACTCCAATCCAGTTGGCACACTTATTGATATTCCTTCCGGTATCATAATAATGATGGTCGCTATCGATATCATCGCTGATTAATGACTATTTTTATCAATAATTCGGAACCTACCCAGACTGTATGTGAAAGTTATTGGTGTGCCCAGTATGTTCATAATCATGTATAAGTGCTCCGAATATTACTGCCAATAAATCCAAATCGGTTAAACTGCTCTGAAAATTCAACAAACGCAATTTCTCATCATATCTAAGCNTACCATCACCCATTCATGTGATTATAACAATTAATTCATTTGTTTTAGGCAGAAATATGAATATAATTTTGGAACAATATTTTATGGTAAAAATGAAGTTAACATTTGTTATCGGAATAAAATAATAAATCTATAAATGGCCACCGAAACTAAAAAGGTGAGAAAAAGGTAAAGGTAAAAAAGGTGATATCGTAAGAAAAAAGGTAAAAAAGTAAAAACCGCGAGTCCAGTTTGTGACAACATAAAATGCGACGATTGTGTAACGTCTGCAGCATGCACAATATTATGATATGGATTATTATGCTTACTGTAACCAGCTTCCAATGCCAATAGATAATTTTCGAGTGTTTGATACGGTATCTGAAAACAGCATTAAATATCACTTATAATAGAGGCAATAACAATAATGATAATAATAATAACAATAATAATATTATTAACAATAACAATGACAATAAAAGAGATGAATTAATAATGTTCCGAAAATTATGATTATGTAAATTTTATTATATATTGTATATTACGTTCAGAATAAATGAATGCAGGCAGATCCAACTATGTGAAGAATGACTACGATACACAATTAAGGCAATTTGCAGTTTCAGGATGAGATATTTTATAAGCGATTCAATAAATCACCTTAAACCGTTCAAGAAAGCCATATCGATTGAACAGTTCAAATCCGACATATTTCAGCGCATGACCGTCCGAGACTTCGTTCACTTTGAACGGATCAAACGACCAACTGTCCACGTTCTAAATAATATTGTTTTGATCATTTTTGCTTTTTTGTCAGCATCGTTGCTGTTATCATTATAGTCAATGCTGATCTGATCAATTGACATTGCGCTATCAACACAATAATCGACAGTATCAACTCAAAAAAGCACCAAAAGGATCGCAATCAATGAAAAGCAAACCCGCATCAACGCAGCAATCTCAGGTGGAATCGGTGCAAAAACAGCTTGTGATTTTCGAAACATTCTGAAAATATCACTCATAAATTGTTATTGTTACAATTATTATCATCACCGTTTTGTTCATCATTATTATCACTGTTGTTAACATTAATCACCGTTTTCAATGATAATGTTGAATCCGGTATCATATATCAGCGATAACATTACCAGTTAACTTTATCAGTTAAAGTATGGTGCCGAAGGTATCAATGAATGATGCCGAAATGCTTCAGATCTAAGAGAATATCAAAAGTGTGAAATTGCTAAATGAAAAATGCTCACTTATCAAAGAAGATTCCGGTTCGGATCGCATTCGCGACAGACTTGAATTTGGGTTTTTCGCGTTTCGACGGAACATTCTGACGAGTGAAAGTGGCTGCAAGCCACTCTCGTACCTCATCCGGTACACTCTCTGAAGTCACCTCGGCCAAATCATCGTCCTCATCGCATATTCTTCTGAGCATTATACGTTTGTTTTTATATTTATTTAAAATATCACAATATTTTTTTCATTTTAACTGATTTTTTACTATTATTCATGTAACTGATATCAAAGAGTCATCATTATATTATCACTGAACACGTTAACTAATATGACTGGATGGAACTTCCGAACCTAGTTTCATCCATATAAGCCGTCTCAAGAACGAGCGCAGCATATTCGATGTTTTTCTTGAGATCCTCCAAAGGTAACTGTCCACTGTTCAACTGATGAAGTATATATCGTAATCTGAAATTGGAAAATGTTTCCTCGTATGATTTAAATGTGTATTTATCACTATTTGATATGATTATTTGTGATATAAATGTCGAAATCAACGATAAATTGATCTGCTTTTAGTAATTGATCCTCCTTCTTCTCATTCAATTATGAAATTGTTCATTCTTTCATTCTTCCACATCGACTTTTTTGCTTTCATCATTTTTTCCAAACGACGTGCATGATGAATTTGACTGATTTATTCATTCCAAGCTTTTGTTTTGCTTTAGAAGAGGCAATATTCGAATTTTCTTGCAAACACCGTCACTATTGAAATCGACCGATTTGCGTCATTGAAAAAAGCCATTGTCCAAAATTTGTCGAGATCAATAATTAATTACTCATAGATTCAAAGTTCTCATAGGAAAATTTTCAAAAAATTTCCTATCGAATTCCATACAAGTGAATATTCGATGAGAATTTCAAGTGATAATAGAACAAATGATAATGATATGATAATAGTCTTGTTTATGTTTTACTTCAACAAATAAGTTAATTAATTATTAATAAGAAAATAGATGAGGAATTCTTTCCGACTTCAGAACGTGTCATCATTGTGTTCAAAACAACCTCAATGCAACTACCGTATCCTACTGGTTTCAGCAAACGACATCTTTTGATTGGATGAGTTCAAAATCAGTGAATTAGAAGCGGTACTGAGACAGTATTGTAAAACCATACACAGAGACAATTAGAGTGATAGTAAATATAAAGAAATGAATAGAACAATCGTAATTGATTGCTTACGTGTCAAGAGCTTGTGATACATGCATGACAATGAAACAAGTGCCGATTAGCAATATTCGTGGTGCTGATGGTGTGTGATGATCAGTTGGGATATAATGGTAATGATAGTAGTGATAACAGTGATAATAATCGCATACGATACGCTAAGATACCAACAAAAAACAGTGCTGTGGTGAAGTGTGACTGCAATACCTGAGTGAAGAGGTGCGTGTTTAAAACAATTCCATCACTCGGGTGATATCAACTGGTAACGAAAACAGCGACACCGATCGACTGACGATCAAAGAAATGGGCATTGAGGTGATAAGGTCGGATAAAATATCAACACGTAGAAAGAACATTATCGCCATCAACATAGGAAAATGACAACAAAAGAAACCTATATTCAGCTTACCGTATTTCATCCATTATTGTCTTTTCCAGGCTCCCCCCCCCCTTTCTTGTTTTGATCAAACCCACTCCAAAGAAAATTTCAAAGATATCAACCCGTCACGGTGTTCATTCAGTAAAATATGTGCAAAAGTTATTCATAAAGTAAAAATAGGACAGAAAAAAAAAGAACTGTTTTAATATGCATGATAAATTTGAGTGCATCCTGAATGAGATACATAAAGAAACATCGTGGATAACAGTGATTAGTCAGAAAACGGTAAAAGTGGGGAATCGCGAGTGATAACGAATGTAGCCATCAAAAATGCATGATTCATTGCTCACAGCTCATGTTGCATGCATGTTTCGTGCACTGTGGTAATTTGCGGCCAAAAACATGAGCAAAATAAACGTTCGAAAAATCTTCCAAACCTCCATTAGAATTTATCAGATGATAATCTATTACAAACTGAAATTTAGCATTCCGATGAAAAAATTGCTGATCGTGAGTTCGGAGGGAAAATTTACATTTGAAGGGAGAAATCAACACATAAATATCAACAGAACCAATTCTACAATATAGATGCGAATAAATAAATGTGAACAAAAGCGTATGACTCTTGAAGAAGCAATCAGCACTACCACTCACTATGAGATTGTTGAATCCGGAATAAAGAGATCACAAAATTTCAATTACTAGGCTCTCCGGCTGAGAATCCTCCATATTCAGCACAGAATTATTCTCGTAAAGAAGCTGAATTTCAGACTATGAACAATTTCAACAAACGGTTGAGCTGTTATGCATTCTCCACTAGATAAATTTTTTTAATGATAAAGTTCAACTGAATTATTCAAATAAATTCCAATAAAATCATAAAATCAGTTCGATAAATAGTATGATCAAGTCAGCTGAGCATTTGTTGGCATTGATACGAAGCTAATAAAAAATGATTTTTGATCATTACGATTTCGAGCAAAATTTCCTAGGCGAACGGAAATCGAAGGAAAACAAAACTCTGCTCGAAACTAAGCGTTGTACCAATATCATTGTGTTGCAAGCCTGGGCCAGGCTATGATTTGGCTTGTATTTAATTATCTGTTAATAATAATAACAATAATAATAATAACGATAATAAAGATTAAAATAAGTGCAATATAAGTGCAACTGACAATATTCATAGGCATGAATGTCAATGTGTATGATCATTTACAATTGAAACGAAACGACACGAATGAAGTTACTGGAGAATTTTATTGGAATGAATCGAACGAAGTGTTCTCAATAAGTCAAATTTAATGCAAAAATCAATTTCATTTGCTACAAAATATAGCATTAATGCTAATCTGGAAGATAGGAAAAACAGCAATCGAAATTATCCGAAGAGTGCAATTCAATTTCATCGTAATTTGAATTTCAATGAGATAAGCAGTTAAAGGCATCGCAAGATTTACAGTGGAACTTTTGACTTGAGTCGATCTGAATTTATTTTTCGTTTCTGAATTTTTTTCGTCAACATCAATGAGTATTTTGACAGAGAGATGCAATGAAGATGTTATCAATGAAAATAGCAATAACGATAGTGGGAATAATTTTGGTAATAGTGATAATGACATGATGATAGCAACATTGTTGCACCATTCAGTTTCGGGCAAAACTTTCCCCACGAGCGCACACAGGATTCGGTTTGTAGGTGAATATCTCAGCAAGCTATGTTAAAAATATTACTAATAATGATAATAAAGATTCGAAAAACACCTGCAAGCATGTTTCCGCAGTATTATTTGATAAAAACCATAAGTATCGTCAATGATCATTGTGTATGTCAATGCAATATTGATGCTGAATCAATAATTAATAATGAATATCCGATGAATGCAAGATTTGTGAACAATAGGGATATGACTCTTATGCAGATGTATTTGCGATCGATTCCAAACTAGCTCCAATGAAATCCTTCAGATGTTGAGAAAATAATCAACTTTTAAGCTGTGCGATTTTTAGAATCTTTTATTCGCACAGAATATGAAAAATGCAAGTGTGAAAGATTATGAATGTATGATAGTGATAAGCAGATAGGATTTGTGTTGATAAATTAGAAATTGAATGACGATAGTGACTGTAATGATAGGTGTTTATGGTTTTGCGCTAATTTATTTGGTTGAAACACTGATATTGATAATAATATCAGTTAATATCAGTGAAGCTAATATGAATACAGTAGGAACAAGGAGAGATTGAAGATTTCAGTGGAATATTCAAAAATCAACTGTAGTATGTTGAGATGATGGATGATGCTAAAGGACGATGAGGTACGTTTATGAAGTGAACTCAGTTGATATATTAAGCATACATCATTTTATGTGCTGCTTCTGCCTAATGATGGGTATTATAATATGATGTACGACAGTGTGTTATGTGATGTGATCTGATAGAATAAAACAAAATTTACATTCACATATAAGAGGTTTTAATTATGAAGACGGACGATTAAGTCGTCTTGGCTAAAGGAATATATGGAACGGATGTATTAATGGATTACACATATATCTGATTGGGATGTGACGCAAGTTGGATTCGAATAGATTAAAGATGCCATATAAAAATTAGCTAATGAACTGAATGCTCGAAGAAATGTGATGTGATAATGAATTAAGCTAAGGAACTGAAAAATGAACTGAAATGATAAAAATTAACTAATGAACTGAAAAATGATAAGAAATGTGATAATGAATTAAGAGACTTATGACTAGATATCGACTAATGCCTGTTGATTTGTCGAAATAAGAAGGGACTGTGAAAGGTCATTAGGATTCATAATTATCTGAATGTCAGCTCATTTAACAATTAATTTTCATTTTACACATACCAGCTCAACTGTTATTGATTTATTCATAGTCTTAAAATAATTATTTACTAATGTATTTACTGAATATATTATTTTTAGTTATTCATTAAAACCTGTAAATATATCCAAACGTATATGAAGTTTATAAGTGTTGATTGATATGAACATTTTATGATGTATATGTTCGACTTTTTCAGATTATCTCATCGTTTGAGTTGTCATACTTCATTTTGACATGTTGCTATAACAACAAGTCAATGCCAAATAGATGTATCTTTATTCACTTACGTGACATCCATCAAATAATCGCATCACCGACATTATGTTCCACAAATCTTTTCACCTCAACAACATCTTGATTGATGCTGACAAATCAGGCAATCCATCGCATGCAATGCGTTACATTCTATGCATGAACGCACTCAATTCAATGGGTATATCTTGAAAGCACAGTGGTACTGTATCTGTGACGAAATGCACTTCTTACTGTTTTGTGTGCAATTGCTAACATATATCCATGAGATGGGTCAAACTTTGGCTCAGGAGCGATCGAAAATTCACGTTTGGATGAGATTCACGGTATTCGGACAACTGTTCCCGAGATAACTGCCCCCGGGGATATTTGCTCCCGAGACAACCGCTCTCCAATAATTTGCCTCCACGATAGCCATCATCGTAAACACAAGTTCTTTTGATCATTACAGTCAATATTACTACTATTGTCATTTTGTAGATTACTATTATGATTTCCATTTTTAGTTTTTCGAAGAGGAATTTTCTGTCACAACTCTTTCTTGAGGCATTTGTCGTAGAACCAAGGTTCACATTCAGAGCCTGACGATCAAACATCAAGAGATTTAAGCCAGAGTATAGATCTATGGAGGAGGACCGCTGTGAGAACTGAAATTTGTGAAAATTCTCTAACAGAGATAGCTATTTTCAACAGAATGCTTCAATAGAGCTCTGCTTTCAATTTCATTTTGATGGGATGGATCAGTCTAGAGACATGTACATAATCATATGCAAACATACGTCATATCATCGCAATTGGCTAAGGATCAACAACTATGACGTTAATGTGTCAAATGTTTACATGCCAATCTTCTCCCA